TTCTTAGATGTAATGATCATGATAGAGATGAATAATTGTATTTTATAATAATATTGAATAAATTGTAATCAGTTATATTGGAAACTTAAGTATATTTTCTTATAAAAATTATTTAAATAAACATTAATAATAAATAACACTCTATTTTGACAATAATACATTTTTTCATGCTCATCACTATGATGAACATAGAACAGAAAGATCACTTATATAATTATTATTTAATAAAAATCTTAACTTATAAACAAAAATATAAAATCCAATTCTTCAAAAAAAAACGTTAAAAGTAGTATTAATGATGATTTTGAGAGACTGAATTATTTGCGACTTGGAGGGAACAGTTGGTCGTATGGTATTTCCAGGAACACTTGGTTAAGAACTGGCTTGGTAATTTTTTCAAAAGCTTCTTCAGCAAATGGCATCATTACTTGGAATATAACACGCCAAAATTGATTTACAAATGATAAAGCCATTTGACCTACATACAGATAACAGGTTATGATATTTTGATACTCCCGATTACTTAAAATACTTAAGGAAGAATTCTAATTAAACCTATAAGTTTCATAACGTATAATTTTTTTTATTATTATTTACTTAGTTCGGGGCTTCCGTTAATTAAGTTAGTGGCGTATATTTTCATGTCACCAATGTCCAATTTCATACCAACATCTTTGATACGCATGTGACGTTGACCATCTAATTTAATTGTGTCACCTTTTAGTGCCCAAGTGCCAGTAACATCGTCTAGTGATTATATACGTTATTTTAAAATAAATACTTTATTTCACATAGAATTGTATGTGTTACTAGATTTAATAATTTACTTACAAGACGATACATTGAAGAAACCTTTTCCCATTATTGGAATTTCTCCGATTTTACCCTCGGCTTTAAAGTTTCCTGTCGATATTACTTTTGGCATATAAAAATCCACTTCTAATTCCATACGTTTGGGATCTTCAACTAAAGCTCTAAAATTATAAACAAATAATGATGAGATTTATAAATTTATAAATTTAACGCTTTATTTATAGAACAACTTTCCCNCTGTATAACGCTTTATTTATAGAACAACTTTCCCTTAAAATATTTAGGATCATGAAATCAGTAGTGATTCATAATTTTGATTTATCATTCACACAATGCTTTCCCAAGGGAATAATAA